ATGCTGTTTTACACACAGCCTCTGCGAATGCACACTAACTAACGCGGCAGGAAGTTATATGTCCATATTTGCTTTGATCGATTCACGTAATCTCTGCTCTACCTCCCCTGATGCAATATATACATTATATTAAACTGCATCTTGTTAAATTGCCCCTAAGCGTCAATCATTAACTTGCTACGGTTGACGCTATCAGTATAGGTCAAGAATATGATCGCTATACTTTACGGAGGGATATCCTAACAAGGATCGAACTGGTGTGGAGTTGTCTCGCATTGTCTTGTTGCTGCCCCCAGGGTCTGGAATGCTGTTGCCAATAAACTGCAACTTGAATCGCTACCAACAATGAGATCTTCTCTCAAAACTGCTCTAGAGGAGTTGTACACCCTTAGCTGCCACTGCTATTCATTGGCGTAAAATAAAATGTTTCGCTCCGGATGACGCTGCAAAGTATTATCTGTATTTTGATTTAGCGTGCTGATCTTAAATGTGCATTGAAACATTTGATACTCCGACTGATGCTTCTGTTATTGTGGAGTAACTCATGCAGCCAGCTATGGCTCTAGGATTTGGTGTTACATGTTATTTATGTAGTTTATTGTAAAAATTCTGTCACAGTCCCTATGATCACTGTTACGTTGCAATTATTAGTACGGAGTTAGACTGATGGCCTTAATCTAAGTTTTCTTGTGGTTGTTGTTGTTGTTTGACTTGCATCCCACTGGGATTTTTTGCACACAGCGTTGGTGTACGGTGCTTTTTTTCAGGAATATTTTGCTGTTTTTTTTCATGGATTTTCTGTTTGCACAGTCACACACAGTTACTTTAAGATGTTTTTCTTGTTCGTGTTTTAGTTTTTTGTTTGTTGTGGTTGCACCCGATTCAAGAGCCGAATGGCTCACAGGGCTATACCAAATAAATTAACTGAACTGTAGTGTCTCGTATGCTTGAACTTCTTTCACACCGTACTGAGCCAACTGTGCTTATCGGAGGTGCTCGCGGGGGGAAGAACAACAAACAAGCACACAACCCGCGCACCCTCTCACAACAACAATTGCCGTTCGCCACGATAAGTGGTTAACGTTACCACAGCGCTTGTGCCAGGCTAGGTGCACCTTGAGGCCACATGAAGTGTCGAACGCCCGCTGGCAGGAGGTCACGGGGCAGACCCAGGTGCCACGGGTCGACTGACTGAGACGAGTGGCTGATGCACCACCTGTGCCCCCTACTGTGCCAACCTGCTGTGCTTTAGCCACCCGGAGCTCTGCTCGTTGTTGTGAGCGTCGCTCCTCCGCCCTCCGTTGTTGTTGGAGGGCGACTGCCTCCAACTGCCCAGTAGCGTCCTTCACGAGCCTCCTCCACAGAGGCCGATCTTGACACCGCTGGTACCAGTCATCGGCAAGTCCACTCAGCTCCACGTCCTCCTGTACCACATCACTGCATCTCTTCTCTAGCCCGTGCCGCGCCCGTTTAGCCCCCTCTATCCGGCCGAACAAAAGCTGTTTGGGCATGCGGTGATTGGGCATGCGGGCTACATGGCCCAGCCAATGCAGCCTTGCCTGCCAGAGGAGCTCACCGATGGGACTTTGTCCAGATCTTTCGAGGATTTGTGTGCTCCTCACACAATCCAGCTTGGTTAAACCCAGGATTGATCGTAGGCAGGCCAGCCTAAATGTTTCTAACCAGCGAATATGTTCCATTAGGGGGGGTCCACGTTTCGCAAGCGTAGAGAAGGGAGGGAATGACTGTGGCCGAGAAGACCCGAAGCTTCGTGCGGAGCGACAGACCAGGTAACTTCCACACAGCGTTACGCAACCGATGAAAAGATATTGCCGTTCGACTGATTCTGAGTGATACCTCTGCTGTTAAACCGGATCCGGTCATGAGCACACTGCCCAGGTATGGGAAACTCTCCACTCCACAACTGCCCCATCACCGATTGGGAGTTGTGGGGGTGGAGTGCCCGATAGTACAAAATACCCAGGCAGGTGCTTCGTCTTGGTGGTGCTGATGGTAAGGCCCCACCTCTTAGTGGCACGCTCCAGTCTCAGCAGCAGCGTCTCCAACTCCTCCTCTGTATGAGCGGCTATTACCAAATCATCGGCATACATAACGTGGTTGACCAATAGGGAGCCATCTCTTGACCGCACCCGGGCATCGATCAGCCACACACGCACAGACGCGACACGTTACTGCAACCCCACCCCCAGACTCAATCATCACCATGCAGACTCGGGTTTCCGGTGTTAAATAACGACGATAATCATTACTTTTTACAGCCCTTAGTCAGCCGCAGCTAGACGAAGACCTCCGCATGCCGTGACAGGCACGGGGGGAGGGGCGGGGTGGTTTGACCTCTCTCCCCTGGGTCAGTGCAGGTTGGTGAAGGGGACGTGGGGAAAGGGGTTTCGCCTGCCCGGACTTGTTTCCAATATACGGGCAGTCCTCGGGTTACGAACCGAATTAGTTTCTGAGACCCGTTCGTAAGTCGAACGGTTCGTCGGTCAGAACACAATGCGCTGTATTTAAATGCCCATACGACCAGTGTCATGAAATGTTCAGCGGTTCACTTTTCAAGTGCGAGTTTCGCGTTTTCAGTCGATATCTTTTTGCGTGGAAGCTGATTCGTAAGAACGGGCGTTCGTAAGTCGATGACTGCCTGTAATTCGCCACTGATGGTAGCCGTGGCTGGGTATTGTACTCAGGTGGCCCCCGGTCATAGGAAACAACCAATTTGCGTTTAAATCATTTGTACGTAGTGCGGCTCATTAATGGAATTTAGTTTATCATTTGTATTGGCTGACCTTGCCTCAAACCTTGCCACAGAATCCCGCTGAGACACCTCCGACTTCAACAAACCCTGGCTCAACTCTCTCCTCGACAGCCTCCAGAAATCCCCACATCTCCAAACGTCGGAAGATTTGGCAATTGACTCTCCTACCTCTCCTTCTCATCTCACTCCACTCCCCCTCCACACACTCTCCTTACTCTCCCTTCTCATCTCACTCTACTCCCCTCCACACACTCTCCTACCTCTCATCTCACTCCACTCCCCTCACTCTCCTACCTCTCCCCTCTCATCTCACTCTACTCCCCTCCACGCACCCCCCTGCCTCTCCCCTCTCATCTCACTCTACTCCCCTCCACTCACTCTCCTGCCTCTCCCCTCCCATCTCACTCTCCTGCCTTCCCCCTCTCATCTCACTCTACTCCTGCTCCACGCACTCTCCTACCCCTCCCCTCTCATCTCACTCCACTCCCCTCCACTCACTCTCCTACCTCTCCCCTCTCATCTCACTCCACTCCCCTCCACGACTCTCCTACCTCTCCCTCTCACTCTACTCCCCTCCACGCACTCTCCTACCTCTCAGAATCAGAATCAGAAAGGGTTTTATTCGCCATGAAAGTTCACACCGACACGGAATTTACTTTGGCAGGATGGTGCATACATTCAACATATAGGAATCTAAAATCTTAAATAAGTTTTAAACAAGTCTTACTATAATAATAAGGGTTAAAGTCTAACTAACACCAAAGGGCTGAAGTATACAAAATTGAATAAATATCGAATATAAAATAGCTTTAAGATATAATTTAAAAATAAAAAATACAAATAGGTTAACATAGTTAATATCGACAAGGTGTCATTATGTAGATAAAATGTTAAAATCAGTGTAAGCCCTTGGCCTTGTTTAACAGGCCAGCAGCAGATGGGAAGAAACTGTTTTTATGGCGTGAGGTTTTGGTCCTGATGGACCGAAGCCTTCTGCCGGAGGGGAGTAGCTGAAACAGAGAGTGTCCAGGGTGGGAGGAATCGGCCACAATCTTCCTCGCTCGCCTCATGGTCCTTGTCGTGTGCAGGTCCTCGAGGGTTGGTAGATTGCAGGCAATCACCTTCTCAGTAGTGTTGATGATACGCTGCAGTCTGCTCTTGTCCTTGGCAGTGGCAGCAGCGTACCAGACGGTTATGGAGGAGGTGAGGATGGATTCAATGATCGCTGTATAGAATTGCACCATCATTGTCTTTGGCAGGTTGAATTTCTTCAGCTGCCGTAGAAAGTACATCCTCTGTTGAGCTTTCTTGGTGAGGGAGCTGATGTTCAATTCCCACTTGAGGTCCCGGCAGAGAATAGTGCCCAGGAAGCGGAAGGACTCTACAGTTTTGACTGGGGAGTCTAACAGGGTGATGGGGGTGAGTGGGGCTGTATTCTTCCTGAAGTCCACAACCATCTCAACTGTCTTTAGAGCATTTAGCTCTAAGTTGTTCTGGCTACACCAGGTCACCAGGTTGTCAGCTTCCCACCTATAGTCAGACTCATCCCCACCAGAGATCAGCCCAATGAGGGTGGTGTCGTCCGCAAACTTCAAGAGTTTGACGGACAGATGATTGGAGGTGCAGCTGTTGGTGTACAGGGAGAAGAGCAGTGGGGAAAGGACGCAGCCCTGAGGAGTTCCGGTGCTGATGGACCTGGAGTCAGAGACTTGTGTTCCCAGCTTAACGCACTGCTTCCTGTCAGACAGGAAGGTGGAGTAGGGCACGTTCAGCTGGAAGAGCTTGTCCTGAAGCAGGGCAGGGATGATGGTGTTGAAGGCAGAGCTGAAGTCCACAAACAGGATCCTGGCGTAGGATGCTGGGGCGTCCAGATGCTGTAGGGTGAAGTGGAGGGCCATGTTAACTGCGTCGTCCACAGACCTCCCCTCACTCTCCTGCCTCTCCCTCTCATCTCACTCTACTCCCTTCACTCTCCTACCTCTCCCCTCTCATCTCACTCCACTCCCCTCTACGCACTCTCCCCTCTCATCTCACTCTACTCTTCTCTCCTCACTCTCCTGCCTCTCCCCTCTCATCCCACTCTACTCCCCTCCACGCACTCTCCCCCCTCTCATCTCACTCTACTCCCCTCACTCTCCTATCTCTCCCCTCTCATCTCACTCTACTCCCCTCACTCTACTCCCCTCACTCTCCTATCTCTCCCTCTCACTCCACTCCCCTCCACGCACTCTCCTACCTCTCCACCCTGGGCTTGCCACTGACACGTGTGCGTGCGTGTGTGTGTGGGCGCCGCGAGGGATACGCGCGACCGCCTCTCACCGCACCACCTTCAACCCGCACCCCCGAGGGGTCCTTTCGGGGCCACGCCCCACCCCGGGGACCTTCCTGCCTGCCCCTCGACGCCCGAGGGATTTCCTCTCGCCCCGCCGAGACCACGGCACCTGCGGCAGGTCCAGCCGTCCGACCCCGGCCGCGTCGACGACGTCGAGCGGTCGCGGAGATGTCCCGCGGCGTTTGGAGTGGGCGCGCGTTGCTCTGCGCGTTGATTCTGCTCCAGGTGAGTGGCTGGGCGCTGGGTCACGGCGCTCCCCGCAACGACTCGCGCCGTGTGAGGCTCTTCTCATCGTCCCGCGCGGTGCGTCTCCACCCGCTGTCCCCGCGTGCTGCGTCTCGCAGAGTGTCTTCGCCCCGTCCACAATGTCCCCAGCGTCTCGTGTCTGCAATATTCCTAGCCCGTGTCTGCAATGCCCCTGTCACGTGGCTATGTCCCTGTTTCGTGTCTGCAATGTCCCTGTCTCGTGTCTACAATTGTCCCTGTTTCGTGTCTACAATGTCCCTGTTTCGTGTCTACAATGTCTCTGTCTCGTGTCTACAATGTCCCAGTTTCGTGTATACAATGTCCCTCTTTCGTGTCTACAATGTCCCTGTTTCGTGTATACAATGTCTCTGTCACGTGGCTATGTCCCTGTCTCGTGTCTACAATGTCCCTGTTTCGTGTCTACAATGTCCCTGTTTCGTGTCTACAATGTCTCTGTCTCGTGTCTACAATGCCCCTGTTTCGTGTCTACAATGTCCCTGTTTCGTGTCTACAATGTCCCTGTTTCGTGTCTACAATGTCTCTGTCTCGTGTCTACAATGTCCCTGTTTCGTGTCTACAATGTCCCTGTCTCGTGTCTACAATGTCCCTGTTTCGTGTCTACAATGTCCCTGTTTCGTGTCTACAATGTCCCTGTTTCGTGTCTACAATGTCCCTGTTTCGTGTATACAATGTCCCTGTTTCGTGTCTACAATGTCCCTGTTTCGTGTCTACAATGTCCCTGTTTCGTGTGTACAATGTCTCTGTCTCGTGTCTACAATGTCCCAGTTTCGTGTATACAACGTCCCTGTTTCGTGTCTACAATGTCCCTGTTTCGTGTCTACAATGTCCCTGTCTCGTGTCTACAATGTCCCTGTTTCGTGTCTACAATGTCCCTGTTTCGTGTCTACAATATCCCTGGTTCGTGTCTACAATGCTCCTGTCACGTGTCTACAATGTCTCTGTTTCGTGTCTACAATGTCTCTGTCTCGTGTCTACAATGTCCCTGTCTCGTGTCTACAATGTCCCTGTTTCCTGTCTACAATGTCCCTGTCTCGTGTCTACAATGTCCCTGTCACGTGTCTACAATGTCCCTGTCACGTGTCTACAATGTCCTTGTTTCGTGTCTACAATGTCCCTGTCTCGTGTCTACAATGTCCCTGTTTCGTGTGTACAATGTCTCTGTCTCGTGTCTACAATGTCCCAGTTTCGTGTATACAATGTCCCTGTTTCGTGTCTACAATGTCCCTGTTTCGTGTCTACAATGTCCCTGTCTCGTGTGTACAATGTCCCTGTTTCGTGTCTACAATGTCCCTGTTTCGTGTCTACAATATCCCTGTTTCGTGTCTACAATGCTCCTGTCACGTGTCTGCAATGTCTCTGTTTCGTGTCTACAATGTCTCTGTCTCGTGTCTACAATGTCCCTGTTTCCTGTCTACAATGTCCCTGTCTCGTGTCTACAATGTCCCTGTCTCGTGTCTACAATGTCCCTGTCACGTGTCTACAATGTCCCTGTTTCGTGTCTACAATGTCCCTGTCAGGTGTCTACAATGTCCCTGTCTCGTGTCTACAATGTCCCTGTTTCGTGTCTACAATGTCCCTGTCACATGTCTACAATGTCCCTGTCACGTGTCTACAATGTCCCTGTTTCCTGTCTACAATGTCTCTGTCTCGTGTCTACAATGTCCCTGTCACGTGTCTACAATGTCCCTGTCTCGTGTCTACAATGTCCCTGTTTCGTGTCTACAATGTCCCTGTCACGTGTCTACAATGTCCCTGTCTCGTGTCTACAATGTCCCTGTCACGTGTCTACAATGTCCATGTCACGTGTCTACAATGTCTCTGTCACGTGTCTACAATGTCCCTGTCACCTGTCTACAATGTCTCTGTCACGTGTCTACAATGTCCTTACCTCGTGTCTACAATGTCCCTGTTTCGTGTCTACAATGTCCCTGTCACGTGTCTACAATGTCCCTGTCACGTGTCTACAATGTCCCTGTCTCGTATCTACAATGTCCCTGTCACGTGTCTACAATGTCCCTGTCACGTGTCTACAATGTCCCTGTCTCGTATCTACAATGTTACTGTCACGTGTCTACAATGTCCCTGTCACGTGTCTACAATGTCCCTGTCACGTGTCTACAATGTCCCTGTCACGTGTCTACAATGTCCCTGTCAGGTGTCTACAATGTCCCTGTCACGTGTCTACAATGTCCCTGTCTCGTATCTACAATGTTACTGTCACGTGTCTACAATGTCCCTGTCACGTGTCTACAATGTCCCTGTCACGTGTCTACAATGTCCCTGTCAGGTGTCTACAATGTTACTGTCACGTGTCTACAATGTCCCTGTCACCTGCCTACAATGTTACTATCACGTGTCTACAATGTCCCTGTCAGGTGTCTACAATGTCGCTGTCACGTGTCTACAATGTCCCTGTCACGTGTCTACAATGTCCCTGTCAGGTGTCTACAATGTCCCTGTCAGGTGTCTACAATGTCGCTGTCACGTGTCTACAATGTCCATGTCACGTGTCTACAATGTCCCCGTCACGTGTCTACAATGTCCCTGTCACGTGTCTACAATAAATGTAGACAACACGTTCTACTTAATTAAACTGACTTTTTAATAAATGTTTCTCCAACAACATCAGAGTGCAGCGCCACATTAGTTTCAGTTCAGTTTCAGTTTATTTATTTAGGTATAGCCCTGTGAGCCATTCGGCTCTTGAATCGGGTGCAACCGCAACAAACAAAAAAACAAAAACACTAACAAGAAAAACATCTTAAAGTGACTATGTGACTGTGCAAACACAAAATCCATAAAAAAACACAGCAAAATATTCATGAAAAAAGCACCGTACACCAACGCTGTTTGCAAAAAATCCCAGTGGGATGCAAGTCAAACAGCAACCACAAGAAAACTTAGATTAAGGCCATCAGTCTAACTCCGTACTACAACATAACAAACATGTCCAAACCAGAAAACTTTTCGAAATCACCAAAAAATAAAGCCATAATTGCAACGTAACAGTGATCACAGGGACTGTGACCGAATTTTTACAATAAACTACATAAATAACATGTAACACCAAATCCTAGAGCCATAGCTGGCTGCATGAGTTACTCCACAACAACAGAAGCATCAGTCGGAGTATCTAATTTTTCAATGCACCTTTAAGATCAGCACGCTAAATCAAAATACAGATAATACTTTGCAGCGTCATCCGGAGCGAAACATTGTATTTTATTTCACGCCAATGAATAGCAGTGGCAGCTAGGGGTGTACAACTCCTCTAGAGCAGTTTTGAGAGAAGATCTCATTGGTAGCGATTCAAGTTGCAGTTTATTGGCAATAGCATTCCAGACCCTGGGGGCATCAATAGCAAAGGCCCTTCCTCCAGTTTTTGTACGGTAATAGGGAATGTGAAGCTGATAAATGAGCGAAGACCTGAGGTCAAATTTGTTCTTTGAAACAGAGAGGAGATCCAGCAGGTAGTCTGCGGATTTTTTTGAAAGTACATCGTGAATAAATAGGATCTGGTGCACAAGCCGTCGAACATTAAGAGATGTTAAGTTTGACCCAATGTAGAGATCGCAGTGGTGAGTACTATATGAGCAGTTCAATGTAAGTCTTAAGACCGAGTGATAGATGGAATCAAGCTTCTTCAGTACAGTACTTGGGGCTGATTTATACACGATGCCACAGTAGTCAAGTAGAGGCAGTATGGTAGCTTTTATCAATTCCAAACGGAACATTGGGGGGAAGCAGTGCTTGTGTCGATACAGAAAACCAATTTTAATTTTTGTCTTTTTACCAATATAATCAATGTGATCTTCAAAATTCAGTTTTGAATCCAGGATGACCCCTAGATACTTATAGATCTTGACTTGCTCTATTTGATAATTATTTAAGGAATGTAATTGGGGAAAAATAACTTCCTGCTTTAGTCCTGGTGAGAAGCATAGCACCTTGGTTTTGGAGGTATTCAGGACTAGTTTTAGAGCAACTAGCTGATGTTGTAGTTTGTTGAAATCACCCTGTAGCTTAGCAATCACGTCATCCGGAGAGCGGCCAGCAGTAATCAGTATCGTGTCATCTGCAAAAAGATTTACCATGGAATGATCCAGGTCAGTGCCCCAGTCATTGACATAAAGAAAGAACAAGAGGGGGGCGAGGATGGAACCCTGTGGAACCCCTTTTGTGATCTTAACACTGTTTGATCTCCAACCATCTGTGAAGACAGTTTAGGTGCGAGAAAAGAGGTAATTTTGTAGTCATGTTACTGCGTTTTCGGAAAAACCGAAGCAACTTAGTTTACTAAGCAGGGTGTTGTGGTCTACTGTATCAAAAGCTTTGGACAGGTCTAGAAAAAGACAGGCAAATTACTGCTTATTATCAAGGCTACTGTAAATGTGATTCAGAGAGTCTAATGCAGCAGATGTGGTGCTGTATTTTTTTCGGAACCCAGATTGTTTTAGATGTAGTAGATTGTTGGTGGACAGGAAACTGCTAATTTGGTAGGTCAATAATTTTCAAAAAATTTGATCAACGGGGACAAAATTGAGATAGGTCGGTAGTTATTTGGATCATCTTTAGGGCCCCCTTTGTGAAGTGGACGGACATAGGAATGTTTCCATTCTAGAGGAACTGATCCTTCTTTGATGGACAGGTTGAAAATATGGGCTATAGGTTTGTATATTAGGTGACCAACAGTTAGTAGAGCAAAGACGGGAATACTATCTGCTCTGGTAGAGGAGGACCCTTTGAGGTAGGACAGTTGTTTCAGAACATTACTTTTGTGGATTGGCTGGAAACTAAATTTGTTTAATGTTTGGACAGGGGTGTAAGAATTTGCATGAGCAGGGGTGACTCCCAATACATTATCAAAAAGATTGCCAGCTTCAGAAAAATGAAGGTTAAAATTGTCAACTATTTTTTGGGGATCTGAAAAATATTCCCCATTTCGGTTAAGCTCAACC